TGTTGGACAATTTTCTTACAATCTTCCTTCTTAACTTTCCCTTTTCCAATGGTTGCCCCTAAGTAGGTGAAAGGTAACTTGCCCTCTCTCATATGAAGTGCTCTTTGCATATTAGCTTTGATTTCTGGCTTCACTCTCGGACCTGTGTAGAAATGGCTTTTGTTGAGGTTGATAAGATGTCCAGATGATTTAAGGAAACAGTCCAGCAGCCCTTTGAACCTGAGCAAGTTTCTGAAATGACCACTAAGGAAGAAAATTATGTCATCCGCATATGCAAGGTGGGAGGGGGGATGGTTTCTCCCTGTATGAATGGCTTTTAAGGAACCCTCCTCAACCTTCCCCTTAATAAGTCTACTTAGGCCTTCATTTCCAAGGATAAAGAGGAGGGGGGATAGAGGGTCCCCTTGCTTAACCCCTCTCTTCATTTTGAAAAACCCATGTGGAGTTCCATTAATGAGGATGGAGAAGTGGGTTGCCTTGAGTGTGGATAGAAGAAGGTAGCATGACTGGGAGGAGAAACCAAAAGAGCTTAGAGTAACCTCTAAGAATTGCCATGAAATTCTGTCAAAAGCTTTGGCGAAGTCCACTTTGATAGCAATGTTGGCGCTTCCAGAAGTGTTGTCAAGGCAGTGAATCATCTCCTGAGTGAGGAGGATGTTTTCTTCCACTCCTTTACCTGCTTGAAACCCACTTTGCTCAGGACTGATGAGTTTGTGAAGGATTGAACCCAATCTATTTGCAAGGATTTTAGTATTGACTTTGGAGAGGAATGTGGATAATGAGATCGGCCTGTAGTCTCCCAGAGATTTAGGGTTGTCCACCTTAGGAATCAGAGTGAGGAGAGTCGCCCCATAGGATTTAGGGATGGGCAAACCCAAGAAAAATTCTTGGGTTGCTCTAGTCACTTCATCATGGATGATGTGCCAGTAGGTTTTGAAGAAGGTCCCATAGTATCCATCCGGGCCTGGTGCACTATGAGAGTTGAGGTCCCAAATGGCCCCCCTTATTTCCTCCTCTTGTGGAACTGCACAAAGCATTAAGTTATCCTCTCCATTAATGATATTGGGAATGTATGAAAGAAGCTGCGGATCAATACTGACTGGTTCATCTGAGTAGATATTAGTGTAGTAATCTATTGCATGCAACGCAATGTTGCTGGCCTCCTCAATAGTCCTACCATGGTCATCCTTAAGAGAAGAGATCCTAAGCTTCTGGCGCCTATTTTTGACCACATTATGGAAGAATTTTGTACTAGCATCCCCCTCTTTTAACCACCTGATGCAAGACTTCTGCCTCCAAAAATCAGTTTCTCTTTTGGAGAGCAAGAGAAGTTCAACATTGGACTTATTGAATTCAACCAAGGATTCAGGGTTCGGGTTCGCCTCGAAATGGTCTTGGGCCCTGCTAGCTCGAGATTCTGCCTCCTTAAGTTGATGGAAGATATTACCAAAGTCATCCCTGCTCCACTTGGTCAAAATGGCCTTGAGATTCTTGAGTTTTCTCCCAAGGCCTTTCATGCCATTGTAAGTTTTATTGTTCTGCCAGAAAGATTTGATGGTGCTTTCTAAAGTGTGGTGTGAAACCCACAAATCCAGGAAACGGAATGGTTTGGGACCAGAGTAAGTGTCCATAGAAAGTTCCAGGAGGAAAGGCCTGTGATCTGATGCTCCCTTGCTAAGCATAGAGAGGTGTACACGGTTAGCCATATCCATCAAATGTTGATTGCCAAAGATGTGGTCAAGTCTGCGCCATAACTTTCCTTGGCTTCGTTTCCCACTCCAAGAGAAATGCCCTCCTGAGGGATGAATATAGAGTAGATTAGAAGCTTCCATGCATTCTCTAAAATCCTCCACTGAATTATAGCAAGGATTGCAGTTCCCTTTGTGTTGGTCAAGACTGTGGATGCAGTTAAAATCTCCACCAAGTATCCAGGGGTCCATGCCTACGTTCCAAGAGGAAATTGCATTCCATAAGTTAGCTCTTTCAGCCCTGGTGTGCCTTCCATACACAGAAGAGATCCACAACGGGCTATGAAGTGCAGCTGAGTTGAATTGGCAATGAATGATTTGGGAGCCTTCAATTGTTTAGATCAATGTTAGGCTTGGTTCCTTCCAGAAGATCCACAATTGGTTATTATGAAGGGAGGATGCATTGGTCATTCCCAACTTAAGCTTATAATCCTGCAGCTGGCTGTTATCAAGCAAGGGTTCCATAATTGCAATAAAAGAAAGATTATAAGTAGAGGATAAAGTTTGAAGTCTGGGTGAAGACTTCTTTATTCCACGACCGTTCCAAAAGAGCAAAAACATCAAAGAGATTTGGGTTTAGTTGTGGTTTTGCTCCTCAAGGACATGCTAAGAGGAGGCAGAGGGGTCTTGACACCTCTTCCCTTCATGAAGGGGATAACATTGGTTTTAAGCGATTTACTCTCAAAAGCGTGCAGTGGGCTCTTATCTTGAACTCGCTCACCTTCCCCATCAGAGTGAATACAGGTAGGAGTACCTGGAATATTAGTGTCCTCAACATTGGAGAGGAGTGCCAGGTAGTTCAGAGGTGAGGAATGACCATTATTTGCCCCTACCTGTTTGCAAAAGGAGGCTTTGAAAGTTGGCAGCTTAGGTGGACTGGAGTGGCCCTTTGATGATGGGCTTTGCACCAATGGGCTAATATTTGGCGTAGCTTCAGGTTTGGACGCTGAACTTGGGTTTGATCCAGCAGTATTATTAATATTATAATAGGGCATGTATTGTTCTGAGCACCCCAATTTAGATAGGCCCGGTATGTCTAAGCAACTCTTGTCCTTGTTCGTTTGCCCATTAGTGTGAGTGTTGCTTCCCATCTTGTTATGAGCTGGTGCCTTACCTTTTCCCTGAACACGGACCCATTGGTGTGTGTTATTTGGCCTGACTTCCTTAGCAGCTTGCTGCCTCCTCTCTGTTCTCCCGCTGGTGAGGACTTTTCCGACGGGCTGGGAATCAGTTTTGCAGCAGTGACCCCATCGACCACAAGCCAAGCAGAAAGGAGGAAGATCATAAATGATTTTAATTTCACGCTCCCAGGCTGGAGTACGTACCAGAATAGAGGATTGCCTGGCCTTGGACGCGTCCATCTCCACCAGCACCCTGACAGTATTGAAGTATCCACCCCTCGCTGTGGTCTCATCCATTTGAATGGGTTTTCCCAGAGTTTTGACGACCGAGAAGAGGGATTGGGCGCTAGTAAGGAAGAAAGGAATATGTTTAAGTGTGACCCATACAAGAACCATAGGGCTGTCACGTTTGTCTTCTAGGAGAGGATCCCATTTAGAGAGATACATGTGATGGTCATTTGCTCTCCAGGTTCTTCTTGATAAAAGCCTTAAAAAATCTGTTTGTGATCTGAGTGTGATAACCACGATGAATCTGCTGATGGAGATGACACGAAAACCAGAGAATCCTCCCCTCTCCAAGGATTTCCCTATGTCTGCAATCTGCAAGTCCCTTGCAAAACGAGCTTTAATGGCGTATGGGAAAGAATCTCCAATTTTCCTTAATTCCTCCGTAGTGAAGGTGATCGTTGGTTTTCCCTTGCTGGTGGACGAGATGGATCCTTTCTCCTCCACAGTTTTGAAAAGATCGGAGAATAGCCTCACCGGCTTGCCGGAGACCGGCGGCTTTCTCTCTCCCTCACTAGAGAACATTATATCATGTGTGTATATATATATATATATATATATATATATATATATATATCTATAGGGGCTGGTTCAAGTGAGAATGCACCTTGGTGAAAGAAATAAGAATAAAATCTGGCCTTTGGATCTGATGCATCGTGCGGCTCAGATTGCATTCTGCACTCAAATTTTGAGATAGTGCATTTTCAAAGGATTATGGTGCATTTCGACATGATGCATTTTCAAATCATCTTGGTGCACCTAATTTTGATGCAATCCTAACCCTTAGAACTCTCAATCTAATGCACCAGATTCATTCTTATTTCTTTCAAAATGTTTTACTTGATTTCTTAGCAAAATGCATTAAACAAACATTTTCAATACTTAGTTTTTATTTTGGAGAACTTACATTTTTGAGATCGGCTAACGGCATGACTAAACCAACCATGGGTCTTGCTAAACCAGCCAAACAGCGATGTTGGTGTAACCAACATTGGTGTCTAGCATGGGTAGCTGAAAACCATGGTTTGGCGTTAAGTCTTCCAACAGCGATGTTGGTTGTTAGACATCGCTGTTGAGCCAAGGTTGGGTTTCCAAAAACATTTGGAACAACGATGTAGCCTACCCTACATCGCTGTCCAACCTAAGCCAAAACCAAATACATTGGCAGAAAGTTTTTGGACAGCGCTGTTGACCCAGCAATAACGATGTCAGGCCATTTCTTTCACTTTCAAAGTCAGGCCTAAACAGCGATGTTCAAGCAATGAACATTGATGTAGGCACCTGACCGTTGGAAGGAATTTAAGGCTAAAACCTTCTTTCTTTAGAAGTCAACAACCAAAACAGCGATGTAGAAGTTTTGGACATCGCTGTTGGCATGACCGTTGCTTCCCATTTTTCAAAACCCAAGCCTAGAACAGCGATGTCCAAGCCTAGGACAGCGCTGTCTGGGTGAATTTCAGCAGATCCAAATTTAATCAAATCCCACAAATTGTGCCAATCACCCCTTAAATGTTTTGATCCGTTGGAGCCTATTTTTCCACTATAAAATGGGATGTTTGGGTCTGTTTTACATATAACATTACTTCACAACTCCTACTCTTTCATTGCAAATCATTCATCCTTTATTTATAGCTTTTTAGAGCCATTTTTGTGAAGCGTGTGCTGTGTTTTTGAGCGTTCTTAGTCACTCATTATCCACTCTAAAAGAGAGTATTGTTATTGAGTATTTTTAGTGTTCTTAGACACTTGACAAGAGAAAATATTTCTCTTGTTGTTCGAAGGAAGGGTTGTTTCCTTCGAAGGTTCGTTGAGGTTCATGTGACTCGAACTCTCAAGTTGTACGGGTTTGTTAAGCACCGTTAAGCTTAACGAGATAGTAGTGTAGCTCGAGAGAGTCTCTCGGGAGGCTGGACTAACCACAAGTTGTGGTGAACCAGGGTAAAAACAGTGTGCCTCTTCCTTGCTCTTTACTTTACGCTTTTAAATTTTACTCCTGCGTCATTTTTCGTTTCAAACGCTATTCACCCCCCTCTAGCGTTGGGACGTTTTTCTAACAGTTTATATTTAGTTATTTACCATTATTATTATATTACTATTTTTATTTTTATTATAGGTAGTTTTATTATTTATGGTTAGATAATTATATTATTATTAGGAAGTATAATTATATTAGATTATTAGTATTATGGTTTATTTAGTTACCTTGTATGGTTAAGATTCTCTAGATCTACCATCTATATATGTAGCTATTACTCATAATTTTATTATTCAATCAATAAGAAATCATTTTCCCTAAACCCTAGTCTCTTCCCCTTCCCTCTCGTTCTTCTATTCCGCCGAACAAAGTGTCGTGCGATTTTCTCTTCTCTTCTTTTTCCCTAATTCCATAGCTCAAAGGTGCTAATCCTTCCTTATCCCGATACGTTACCGTATGAATTGGTGCTTTCATTCTTGAACTCGCCAAAAATTTAACAAAAAAAACAACCAAAAAAAGTTTCAATCGACCAGACCTGCTTCGCCGCCTCCATATCAATTCTTGAAGTCAATTGAAGATCAACGTGCTACAATTTTGTTTCTCTCACAAGAATTCTACACTTTTGGTGTTTGTGGAAAATCAAAGGAGACCATCCGTGTTGCCGCCACCGTAGGCCGCAAATCCAAGAGCAGTACCGTCACTGAGTTGCTAACCCGGCCAGAGGGATCGTACCCTTTCGGAGGTACACAAAAATTCAGTCGCATAGAATTTCATCCGTTGATAGTAATCGCAACACGGATAGAGCATGCAGGAGACACAAGTTCTTATGATGATTAACTCTAAGTTAGAAAAACTTTTAGTCTTGCTGGAGGATATTCTACGAGAACAAATTGAATTTTATGGAGGTGTGTGTGCAGTTGAATATTCTGTGGATGTGATTATAAAGTAACTTCAGGCATTCTGTCCAATTGAAGGTTAACCAAAGTATGATTCCGAGGTATATGTGTTTGCCATAGAGGCCTCTTGTTCAATACAGAATTTAGTTCATGGCCTCCAAATTATGCCAAACTTGATTCCTATAGAGTTATATATACATTTTAAAAACAACCATGATGCGCTCTATAAGGAAATCATCGGCACTCCACGAGATTCGGCCTCTACAGTACCTGTGCAGAACACAACTTTGCAGAACCATGAATTTGAAAATGAAATCTTTATTGATCCTGTTGGTGTTCCTAATGATGATCTTATTATTGATCTCATAGATGTTGTTCCGATTGTCGTTGCTGATGTTGTTGTTGATGTTTCTGGTGACGATCAACGAGACCACACTGTCCAAGCAAAATATTCAAGCGATGGTGTCATTTTTTATGGATGCACGGAAACATTTGGGACGTTAGAAAGTGACGTTGTTGTCCTTTATAATTCTAGGGATGTTGCACGTGATTGCATAATATTCCCACTCTTAGTTGGCCAGAACTGTTTACTTGACATTGGGAATGTTTTAGGCGTGACTCGTTCTTTCGGTGCTCTAAGGATCAAGGGGTTTGACCCCGGAGGATGGACGATGAACGGTGTGGTTTTTCCCGTTCTTTATTTGATTTCCAACTTGACGACAAGTTGGTTTTCGAGGCGGGAAGAGTGATACAGGTTTATATTTAGTTATTTACCATTATTATTATATTAATTACTATTATTATAGGTAGTTTTATTATTTATGGTTAGATAATTATATTATTATTAGGAAGTATAGTTATATTAGATTATTAGTATTATGGTTTATTTAGTTACCTTATATGGTTAAGATTCTCTAGGTTTACCATCTATATATGTAGCCATTACTCATAATTTTATTATTCAATCAATAAGAAATCATTTTCCCTAAACTCTAGTCTCTTCCTCTTCCCTCTCGTTCTTCTATTCTGCCAAACAAAGTGTCATGCGATTTTCTCTTCTCTTCCTTTTCCCTAATTCCATAGCTTGAAGGTGCTTATCCTTCCTTATCCCGATACGTTACTGTATCATTGTATATGTGCACAAGGCCGGTCCCGAAAAATGAAAAAATAAAATTGGCCCGGTCCAAAATTTACATTTTGGGCCCAATTTTTTATAGAATACTTATACTTTAAATTTATTAACAAATTTAAAAATATAGGGCCTTAAAATTTTAGGGACCCTGTATGGTTTGCCACTTATCACACCCTCCGGGCTACCCATGTATGTGCACATTACTATACTTTTTGGTAATATACATGACCATGTTTGGTAATGTATATACATTTTAAGTCCTATTTCGAGAATAAAAAAATAAAAATCCTATTTTGGTATATTTTTAATGTTTTAGTCTTACTTTGACCTTTTTTCTTTTTTTCAAACACAATTATCAATTGGTGTGTAAGTTACTAGGCCAAATAGCTCCGGTACCCCTTGTGGTTTTGGAAAATTGGCACTAATACCCCTTATGTTTTCAAAACTTATTTCTAAAGTCCCCGTGGTTTCAAAACGTTGCACCCACACCCCCTCTGATCATTTTCCGGCCATTTTCCGGCAAAGAGGGGGCATTGGCGCATAATTTTTAAACCATACGGGGCATTCACGCTCATTTCTTATTTTCGTTTATTATTCTTCCCTTTTTTTAAATATTTTCTCTCTTTTTCCTTTTCCTAGATTTTTTCAAATATATTTTAAATTTTTATAATGTTTCAAAAATTTTCAAATTCTTTGTGTTTGAAATGAAAATAAAAATAAAAAATTAAGATATATTACATCTATCTCAAATTAAACATTTTCACTCTTTGTTACTTAGAATAATTTTTTGGAAAGTTTAAAAAAACAAAGAATAAAAAAATAAAAAAATGGAAAAATGAAATAAAAAAATTAAAATACGCAAAAAAAGTCTTATACAAAAAAATTGAACACGCCTAAAAACGTCCATAGAATTAAGATGTCCAAAAAGGCTATTTATTTTTGTATTAATTTGTTTCTTATTTTCTTCCTCATTTTTTTGAAGTTCTTAAAAAAAATTATTTTTTTCAGAAAAAACAAAAAATGTTAATTTGAGAAGTATATATGCATTATATGTTATTTTTTTCAAACAAAAATAACTTTAAATTTTAAGAACATTATAAAAATAATTTTTAAAAAAACCTTTATTAATAAATGAAACAAAAAAAAGGAAAAATGGAAAAAACAAAAAATATGCGAGAAATAAAAATCAGCATTGATACCCCCTATAGTTTAAAAAATATGCACCAATGCCCCCCTTCTTCGCTGGAAAAATGACCGGAAAATGATCAGAGGAGGCACGAGTGCAACATTTTGAAATCACATGGACTTTAGAAATGAGTTTTGAAAACAGAGGGAGTATTGGTGCTTATTTTGCAAACCACGAGGCGTATCAGCGCTATTTGGCCTAAGTTACTAAGTTATTAGAAGTCTCGTGCATGTTTGTTCGGAGACTAGATCTAGCCATGCAGGCGTGGAGGTTGGTCGAACCATGATATATTGTGTGTTCTTCATTGCTTTACACTTCATTTGCATATTTGTGTTTGTATGTGTGATCTTAAATGTTCTATACATGAGAGTATTTTTGTGAGGCAAATCTTGTAAAAGAAATAATTCTAAGAGTAAATTCTTAAAATGATCCTTTGTAATTAGATGTTTTCTCAATTCAGTCCTCAATAAATTTTAATTACCTTTATGGTCCCTATAATTGAGATTTATTCCCAAGATAGTCCTTCGTAAATAATGTTATTCAAATGATGATTAATTGGGAGATATTTTGGTAATTTTACCATCCAAATTTAAAGTATATTCTCGAAATTGTCATTTTTGTACAACTAAATATAAAATTGAAAAAATACATTGACTATAAATAGTTCATAATTATTTAAAACTTATAAAAAATCTTTTAAATTTCAAATCAAATACACATCTTTATAATTAGAAAAAACCATTTTGGAAAAGCACTTCATTATAAATAATCATTTTAAGAATTAATTCTAAATTTAGAGGATAAAAAATACCAAAATGCCTTCAATTAATCCTCATTTGAGTAACATTATTTACGAATGACCACCTTGGGAATAAATCTCAATTATAGAGGACAACATAGGTAATTAAAACTTATTGAGGACTGATTTGGGAAAACATCTTATTACAAAGGACTATTTTGGAAATTTACTCTAATTCTAATGTACATGTTTGACACCCCTATTCACCCCCGAGAGGTGTATTGTATTTTTCAATTTTTTTTAAAGTGCATGTTTGACACCCCTATTCGCTTGATCTTAATGGTTCTCATTTAAGTTTTTGAAGATCTGATGTAATCTGATCTGATTGGTTCTGATATGATTGAACCTCATCTAATTTGATTTGAATTGACTTTAACTAATACAGAGTATAATCTAAATAAAAGTTAAAATTATTACAATAAATTTATCGTTATTATTATTACTATTACTATTACTATTGCTATTACTATTACAATTATTATTATTATTATTATTATTATTATTATTATTATTATTATTATTATTATTATTATTACTCACTTCGCCATTGTCTTCCGTAGTTGTCACCAAGTTGTCAATGGTCGTCGTTGTTGCCTATTGAGTCGCACTGAATTGTCTTCGCATGTAGTCTAACAACAACAACAACAACAACAACAACAACAACAATAATAATAATAATAAGGGAAAAGAAAAGTCTATCCAGAGTAAGTTTTGGGATATTTTAGGGAACCCAAAGTACATTTTTAAAAAAGATGGTATTTGGAAGCTCTTTCTACAAAATTAGGGGTAACTAGCTGTAATTTTTGAAAAGAAGCTGATGAAAAGATAACGGTGCAAGTGAATATGATGGAGGAATGGACAAAAAGTCCCTCCGAAGTTAGTTTTTGGATATTCTAAGGTAGCTCGGAGTATATTTTAAAAAATGATAGGACTTGGGAGTTCTTATCACAAAATCAAAGGTATCCAGTAGTAATTTAATTTCTAAGGTAAACAAACACCTAATACCTTGTAAAGCATTTTTTTTTTCAAAAAATAAAAGATACTTTTGACGTAAGAAGATCTACCAAAAAGCTCATATAGGTGATATCCGGACTACTAGTTTTTCATAACATCACCGAACTATTTTTTTTATATTTGGATCAAATGTGAAAGAAGGTATATAAGGTAGAATAGTTTACATGCTAATGGTCTTCTTCAAATCTTGCGATTTACATCATCAAAAGTTCTAGGTCGAGAGTCTTGGGTCGTGATTAGTTTAGTAAAACTACTCTATTAAAAAGAAAAAAAGGTAATTACTAGTATTTGATGATGATTAAATTGTAAATTGTAATTTAAAGTCTAAAGGGTCCTTGTTGCAGAGATGCTAAGCAACCAAGGTCTTAGTTTTTTTTTCTTCCAGTCCAAACTCCAAATAGGATGGCATGCAAGATGTGCCCATTGGTGGAACTGGTCAATGCATATCATTTCATATTCTCAGTGTCAACTGCCAAGTCCTAATTTCGCCATGTTACTAGCTACATACTCTCTTCTTATCATATATTTTTTCATTGAATGTTTTGCAATCTCCATTAAAACACTTTAATCATTAATATATCTACTTATATATAGTTATAAGTTATAAAAATATGAAATTTCAAAACTCTTATATATACTCCCCGTCTCTGAAAATCTTTCTCCTTTCTTTTTTCATTCGTTCCAAAAAATAATTCTTATTTTAGGAAAAAGTGACTCTTACTCCTACTAAGACAGCGTTCCGTTCAACTTATTTTTTCTACTTATTACTTATTCTTATTATAATCAGATAAGACTAAATCAGACCAGATCAGATTAGAAACAACTTTAATTATTATTGCAGTTCGTTTAGACCAGATCAGATCTTCAAAAAATTAGATTAGAACGCAACATAATTCTTAACTTACCTATCACATCACATCTATTCACCATTAATCTACTTATCAAATTCTACTTTTATCAATCACATCCAAAGACATTTTTAGAAACTTAATACCAAAATACACTTCTCTTAAATCACTTAAAAATCAAAACCTCTCATGTTTTCAGGGACGGAGGGAGTAAATTTTAGTGTAACTCAAATGATTATATAACTAATTTAATTATAATAATCATCGAAAAATTTCGTGGTATGGAATACACGCTCTATTGAGTTTTTGTTATAACAAAAGACTTGTTTTGCTCCTAAGTACGTATACGGGGGTTCCAAGGGGACAACACCTTCTTGGTAGTGGTTCGAGGGCAGTGTCCAACAAAAGTTTTGTTTTGCCCGTAAGTATGTAGACAGGGGTTCCAAGGGGACCGCACCCCCTTGGTAGGAGTTCGAGGTGTAGCGCCCCTGAGAGAAGGGTTCAAGGGGCGGCCGTGCTCGAGAGAGTGAGGTTCAAGGGACGGTAGCCCCTGCAGGGTCTAAGGGACAAAGTCACTGGCTAAGGTCGAGATGTTGTATTAAAAATTCAGTTCAATTTTTATTTTTGAATATCGTAGTTAACAAAATCTAAAGGAACGTACCTTACCAATTCATGCGATTAAATGAGATCTTTGAAGAGAGTCGCGAACGACAACTCTTCGTCTTTCACAGCGTCTCTAAAGATTTTCACAAGTTTGGTCATCAAGAAGGTTTGAAAATCATCACAAATTCTTCTTATTTTGTTTTATAACTCTCTCAGAATTGTATCTGATTGAAAAATTTGTGCTAACTGTTGAATAGTTTTAATCTGAAAGTATTTAATGAATCTATAGATAATTAGTAGGAGTGTGCAAAAAATTACACCAACAAGGTATCATACTGGACCGTAATATAACCAAACCATTTATGATGTTTTTAAATGATATTGATTTATTATGTCCCGAATCGATACCAAACGAGAAGAAACTAAATTATAAAATTCAAAAACAATTATCATAGATCGAATCCATTAAAATTAATAAACACCAAAAAATAAGGTATGTCAAATACTTATTTGTATATTTTTTTCTTACCATATAAGGAGTACATTTGTATTGTATGATTCTTCTTTTAATATTTAGTATAATTATTTTTGTGTAATATTTATTATTATTGTTATTATGAACATTATTATTTTATTTGGACATATTAATAGTCTGATATAGTAAAATATTTGGAAAGAAAAGCATAATTTTTTTAAATTTGGACTCATTATATGTTGTTCTTTTTATTTATGATCCTTTTAAACTAGAACTCATTCCTTTGTTTTGCAAAGTTAAGCTTTTTATAGAAAATTTGGCTTTTGCTTTAATATTATTTGAGTTCATGTTTTATTTTGTTAGGTAGAGTTTGAATATGATTTATGGTATGGTATTGTCGCATTCAATTTCAAAATGAAATGGTATCGAATGGTTTAATTTTAGGTTTCATCTCGTATCAAATCCTAAATCATTTAAATGAGCACGATTTGTGATAGGTTATTGCGGTAGTATTACGGGCCATCACGGGCCACACCCACCCCTATTTGATACATATTAAATTTATATAACTAATGGTGTAAATTATCGACGGGTATATCGTTTTTAGCCGGGCAAAAATGATATACTAGGTTAAAAATACACCAAAATATAAAAATGGGGATTTTGATGTGGAAACCCAAATTGAGAGAAAAACCACGGGCCTTTTTTGGCGGTACCCTGCCAGTGGGGAATGTTTATTAATATCGGGGGTTATACACGGTACATAATTTAGGCGTAGAAGCTACTAATGGTGGAGCTATAAGCTCAATGAAGAAGAAGAAAATCTACAATCTAGAGAGAGAAAGAGTAAATGGTAGGGAAGAAGTATGATTGGCCTACTCCTCTTGGTGAAGTAATGCTTCTTTTTATAGTAGTAGCAGGACCATCTACGGGGGAATATTTTTTTATTTCTCCATTTTATTGAACAGGCCCGGTTTGACTGTTTTTCATTATATATATATGTGTGTGTGTGTGTATGTGTGTGTGTGTACACAGATCATAGCATCAAACATCATAGATCTGAGGCACCCTATCAAACCATATCATCATGAGTCACTACGAAACACACAAGGGCTATCACACATCATGCATGCAATATGTTCCTAGCTCTATCAGACATTGGTGAAGGTCAAGTTAACATGAATTTGATCCATCACAGTGCATAATACAAACATATAAATACATTACTCTCTCATATGAGTAAGAAATAAACAAAAGAAGTCATAAAACATGGATCAAGGTTGGAAAGGTATTTTTGGATGGTTTACCATGAAAAAATGATCAGTGCATGCCATTTTTCTGTGTCATACCCAAAGCTCACTTATTCCCCTTCGCCTTCTTCGCCCAAGAACCCCTCTTCTAAATCTACAGCCACATAGTTGTACTTGTTTTTAAACCTCTAATTACGGTCTATTTTAAAAGTGTACGATGGTGATTCAACAAGCACCGCCACCTTAGGTTTAGATTCTAAGGCAGAAGGCAATCTGGATCTGGATCACAAATCTTGAGACAAAAGATGAAAAATAGGCATTGTTGGGTTGCAAGTCTATGGAGAAGACATGCGAAGACAGAGAAGGGAATTTAGAGAGAACAACACTGAAATAATAGAAGATGAAGAGGTGAGGAGACGAAGAGGTGAAGAGAGAAGAGGGAGGATAAGATCTACTCCAATTCAAACCTAGCAAACGAAGATGGAGGAGTGATGAGAGAGGATTAGATCTAAACGTAAAAACGGGGATGGAGGAGAGAAGAGACGCGTGGATGTGGGTAGAGAATTAAAGGTGGGCTAATTTTGTCCAAAAGGTGTACAAATTGAATTATTGTAATCTATTTTAGGACAAGAAAAAGAGAGAATATTGTAACCAAAACTAGGACAGAGGGAGTAAATTGTTTCCTCTCATGTCTGATTTTATAGAACTATTGATAAGTTTTTAACATACAAATTTTATCTAAGATTTTATGAGAAGAAAAAAGTACAACCTTTTAACTGGGACTTTAGTTTTGGGACGAAGCGAACACTTCTTTCGTCACATAAAACTCCTCCTACTTAAAGGAATTGCCCAAAGTAAGAATAAAATATAACTGATAAAATATAGGATGAGAATGAACAATTGAATTGGGTAATAAGACACTTGGGTTGAATCACATTAAAAGATTGAATCCAATCGATTAGTTAGTTCAACTCAAGAGCTTATATACCGATTATTTTGCTCTTGAACTTCCAATGTGGGATGACAGTCTAATTTAACACTCTCCCTCAAGTGGACAACCGGGCCATTTTGAATCTAACCGGTTGACCACTTTCAAATAAACTCTCATTCCCTTGATTTTTTTTGAGCGCCAACACCTAAAGGACCAAGAGCCGCTGGGTATGGACTTCCAGACGAGCAATCGTGTGAAACGGGCCATAGCTAGGCCGTTGGGTACATACTCCCTACAGACAACTGGGCTAAAGACTAATAGGCCGCTAGGAATGAACGTCTAGACGGACACCTTGACAAACGAGATGGATCAAAACCTGCTCCGATACCATGGTAAAATTTGAGATGGGAATTGACAACTGGATTGGGTAATAAGACACTTGGGTTGAGCCACATTAAAAGATTGAACCCAATCTATTAGTTAGTTTAACTCAAGAGCTTATATACCGATTATTTTACTCTTGATTCTTCAACTTCTGATGTGGGATGACACTCTAACAATAACTCTTATCTCTAAAATAGGAGTGACATAATTCTATCACCAAAATAAGACTATTGTGCTTTGAGAATGTGACATTGTATTTTGACAGTCTTGTTTTGAAAGTCTTGTTTTGATTCTTTCTTTTTGTTTTATTTTTGATTATTTTAGTCATCTCACTCCTAGTTACTAACTAACTATAGTAAGGAGTATTTGTTAAAATAATACTTCCTCCCTCCCTATTTATTTGCCACATTTTGATTTATGAGGTAAAATATCAAATTTTTTCAATTTTTTAAATATTGGTATAGAAATAAAAAATAAAATTTACATATTCAAAAATTTCAAAGTTCTTCAAAATAAGAGGTGTCAAGAATATTTTACTTTATCAAATAATCATTGAAATGTATAAATAAACAAAAGTTCTTGCGACGGTTGAAAAAGCAAATGTGGCATTCTTTTAAGAATGGAGGGAGTACTCGGTATATGGAGTAAACTTTTCCTAATTATGGAATACTTTGTATTATTCACTTAATCAAATGCTCGATAATTATTCTGTTTCACATTTTTTTATAGAATTTTTATATTGTTTTTAATTAATATGTATATTATTTTACTGTGTTTTAATTTAAATAAAAAATTAAATAAGTTAAATAAATTAAATAGAAAATAAGTTCACTCATTCACTCAAAATTTTAAAGTGAAACTTTTTACTCCCTGCGTCTTATAAAAATCTCTACACTTACTTTATTCTTTACTTTTTGAATTTCTTTACTTTTTGAATACTAATAGCTCTATTACAATAATGTATTATTTGTTCATAAATTCTCAATCTCTTAAAGCTCGTAGAAAAATTGCCCCACCGAAGGTTAGGAGTAAGCAGGTGCCGATCCGATTCTGAAATTTTCCATAAAGTCGAGAATACTGAATCGAAAAAAAAACCGAAAAAGTACCGAGAAGGAACTGAATTATACCGAACCGAACGATCAGTACGGTACTTGGGAACGGTACTTGGGTCGGTACTCCTTTGTTATCGTTCATCTTTTTAGTTTGTGAAATATAAACCAAGTTTTGAGTATGTTGGACATGAGTTCAAACCTCTTTATTATTCTGGAATATTTTTGTTTTGATAAATGACAAACAGGATGATGAAATTCAAACGATGATCGAAAATTTACTTTTCGTACCGAGAAAAGAAAAGAGGCGTATCAAGAGAGTTACGGGATAAATCAACGCTCGCCCCACGCAGATTTTTAAAGAGAAGTGAAGACTCCGAAGATTTTTTTAATTTTTATTGAGTCTAGGATTCTTGTAAGGATGACAATATCTTCTGCACTAAACAATTTAATTTCTGAGGGATAAAAATTATTTTTGAGTCAGTTGAAAAATCACTTTTTCTCTGTCTAAAATATTTTAGGGAGTCAGTTTCAAAATAAGTGTGTCAAAATTTCTTTAAAACACTTTTAAAGTTACACAATTTTCTTTGGTGAGAAAAATATACCTTAAATATTTTTCGTGTACATCATTTGACACACAAAATAATTTTTGGACTCTTTTTTTCTCCCCTACTCAAATTAATTGAGTAGGAGCGTCCGTTGTCCTTTGATATTCCCGTTGTCCAAAACAACGAGTTAGAAGCCAAAGGGCTTCCAATCGCACTTGGCTTGGGCCCTTTATGTTTGCGCATTATTTTTACTTTAATCGATTATTTATTCTAAAATAATCGATTAGATCCAATTTCACAGCGCTGGATTTCTCAAGCCTTCATTATTAATCGATTTTTCTTATTCTTTTAATCGATTAATTCTCACAGCGCAGACTAATCGATTTTTCCTTCAAAATTAATCGATTAAGATTGCATTTCTCGCTGAAGTCTTTTTCTTAAATTAATCGATTAATCTTCTTCATTTAATCGATTAGTTGAGACAGCGCCATCTAATCGATTACTTTGTCAAAATTAATCGATTATTTTGCACCCTGCGCAAAAGCCTCTTTCGCTTCTGTACACTTTAATCGATTAAAATTCATAAATTAATCGATTAATTCTGTCTGGTGCATATCATCAGCTTTCTTCAACGGCTTTATTTTCCTCAGCCTATTTAATCCCTCATTCTCCTTCATTTCAAGACACACCTCTTGCACTCCAATATATTTCTTTGAGCTATTCATCCTTTGCTTCATCTTCCTCATCAAAATATTATTTTTGAGAGTTAGAAATATTTTTTCTTTGAGTGCTATAGAAGTTGTCATCCATAGAGCTTAAATCTTTCAACACTACTTTGCTCAATTGTGTGAGCTTTCATTCTTGTGTTGTAAACTCAATCTCATTTGAGTGTTGTTCTTAAGACTTGTGTGACTCAAGTCTTGTTGTTGTAAGAAAGTGAGGCTTGTGTGATTCAAGTTCTCANCTCTCGGAGGACTGGACTAGCCACGAGGTGGTGAACCAGTATAAATCCCGGTGTTCTTCTTTCCCTTACTCTCTTTACTTTTTTTCCTGCGATAATTTTTACGAAAAACGCACATTCTTGAAAACAACTCTATTCACCCCCCTTCTAGAGTTGCACATTTGTCTAACAGAGTACTACCCGGATGTACCTTATTTATGATATAATTGGTTGTACCGTATACAGACTCACAGATGACAGTGCGGTGGTGATAGTGTGGCACTTACAAGTTGACAATGTGGTGAGTGTGGTAGTGTAACAATGACAGTGTGGACTCCTATTTTAGTCTTAAAAGACTTATGACTCTTATTTTGGTATTTTCATAGTTTTTTACTCCTATCTAGGGAGTTCTTCCAATTTGTTAGATTGTTGTATTAATATTTGTATTTATGGTAGTATTCGTGTATTTGTCAGTTACTATATTGGAAGAATCGTAATTCATGTCACGATCTCTATCTATATAAACTACCATGTAACTACATTATTCCTTGAGTGAAATTCATAATTCTCTAAATCAGCATGGTATCAGAGGAGCATGGAGATCTGTTCCTCTCCCTTCCGCGATAACATTGAAAAAAAATTGGTGACGATGATCTTCTTCTAATTGCCGATCCTTGTCTCCTGTCATCGAATGGCAAAAGCCTGCAACATGGCGCCGATTTCTCATAATCCTATGGATCATCTCCCTACAGGTCTAAAATTGTTTGTCCAGAATCTTCAATCTCTTATGCCGGCCAAATTTCAAGGCACCAATTATCCCTCTTGGTCAGCCACAATTCAAGGAAATCTCATGGCTCATCGTCTTCTCGGGTATGTTGATGGATCTGAAATGCTTCCCCCACCTCTTGTTCAGGACAAAAAAAAGCTAGTGCTCCATGCAAGGATGAACCACCAATTATAAAATGTAATCTTGTCTATGAAACATGGATGATTGTTGACGCTCAGATCCGGGCATGTTTCTTGGTTGTTGTCTCTCCCACTATTCAGACTCACATTCATGCCCTGCCGACTTCTTCAACAATTTAAAGACACCCTGAACAATGGTATAATCCTTGTCACATACTCATATTTTTCAATTGAAACAACATCTACATAGTCTTCAGAAGGGTAATGTTTCGATGCAAACATATGTAGATACTGTTATTACTATTGTCTTTTCTATGAAACTGGCTCATAAGGATGTATTTGAATAAGATATTATCTTGTGTGTGCTTCATGGTCTCCTGACGGATTATGCTTCCTTGAAACAAAATATTCGGACCAATATTGGCACTGTCACTTTTAATCATGTCTCTGCGTGGCTTCTTTCTGAAGAATTAAATATTACCTTTGAGAAAAAGTTACAACTTTGTGATTCCATTTCTACCTCAACTACGGATGTCTGCAATGCTCTATTTATCAATTCTGATTGTGGAAACGGACATGGTCGTGGACGTGGACCATACCGCGGTAGGGGGGCAATCCGTGGTGATAACTCTGGTGGACGAGGAGGACAACAGCATCCCTACTATGATGATACACGCGGCAGAGGTGGATCACATAGAGGCCTGGTCACATGTTAATTGTGTGGGAAACCTACACATGCGGTCTGGAACTGTTGGCACCGCTATGATGAATCATATCTTGGTCCTCTATACGCATATTACACAAGTCAATCTATTGAACCCA